TTTTAAAAAAAAAGTTAGTCTTGTGGGGTGAGGTATTTTCCACAAGTATAAGCCAAAAATAAAAAAGATTTATTTTTTTTTCAATAAAAGAAGCTAAATGTGACTTGATCGTGACAGTGATAAATAGTAAATTTAGCAGTGATCGAGCAATTATCCAATTTTTTTGTAGCAATTTTTATTACAAGAATAGTTATGTAAACACTAGTATAGACATTGTTTGCACAAAGGAAAATATATATACAAAAAATGTTTGTCTTGTAGCAATTGAAAACTATGGGCTGAATGCATTAAGTGAAGTCTTGAAGGGAGTGGTGCTGGAGTATAGCGAAAATACACGATTCTTGGTCAATTTTGATCTTTGAAGTAATCAACTAGTTGGAGAAATCCCTTTGGAGCTGACAAACCTCACTGACTTGATCGGTCTCAATTTCTCTCATAATCATCTAAGAGGACAAATCCCATTGAAGATTGGAGATATGGTCTCTCACGAATCACTTGATCTTTCCAACAACTATTTGTTTGGAACAATTCCAGAGAGCTTATCGAAGTTGACCTTTCTGAGTCATTTGAACTTGTCCAACAATAATTTGTCTGGGCGTATCCCGATGGGACCTCAACTTCAAACACTCAACGGAAGTTCGGATTATGAGGGAAACCCTGGACTATGTGGGGCACCATTGGCCCAACAATGCGAAGTTAACAGAACATCGACAAAAGGTAAAAATAGTGGGGAGCATGGTGATGATGGAAATACAGCCGATAAGTTATACCTCTATGGATTTGTAGTTGGTGGTTTTGCCACTGGATGCCACTGGATTATGGGGTTACTTTGGAGTTTTGATCTTCAAAAAGAGTTGGCGGCAGACACTGTTCGGGTGGATGGATGCTCTGTTGAAAAAAATGATGGGTTGGAGTTAGACTGCTATAGCTTGAGTTTACAAGGGGACTTTGCAACTTTGTATCATATTTAATTGTCCTTTAAGTTGTATCCTTGTGTTTGATGTGATCTTTGTGGTGTTTTTGATGTTGGTGTTATATGTATTGTTTTAAGGGTTGTAAGTTTGATGTGGATTTTTTTTTTTAAGTTTATTTTTGTATAACTTGTAAAGTGTACGTGTGATGCACGTCATGCATAATATATATAGTTCTTTAGCTTTTAAATTATGAATTTATATATTTTTATAATTTATTCATTTTTTCATCACTATTTTTATTTAATAGAAAATTGTGCTTTGCATAATAAAACGTAACAAAATGTTTTCAAAGTTGAAACATAATTTTTTAATCAGAGTAACATTTTAAAGTCACTAGTAAAGTGCACGTGCATCGCACGTGGTGATAAATGTTTTTTGCCGATTGAATTCAATAAAATTAATTGATTATTTAATTAAACATATCATTGCAGAAATGAAGTAAAATATAGAATAAATGAGCTTCTAATGTTTTTTTTTTTAAATAACATAATGATGTCCTAATATAAAAAGAATGAAATAACATATTACAACTCCAACAAAAATATAGTCTCCAATGGAAAAAATACTAAACAACTAAATAAGGACCTAGTGAATATTATAGATATATTAGTTATTTTATTTAATTATAATAGATGATTAAAAAGTGATTTATTCATTTTGGTTTTGACATTTTCATAAGAAACATTGATACTAGTTGTAGTCCAGTACATCAATAGTGTTGCAAATTTTTTCTTAATTCATTTGACAAAACGTCTACATTATTCACTAACTTATAAATATACTGGCCAAACATATAATCAAACTTCATTATTGTATGATCTTAAAAGGTATTCAATCACCGACTTGTCTGAAAAAAAATTTATCATGCCCTGAATGATTTTTTTCAATGTTATTTATTTGGAAGGCAGACGAACTATATAACCTATTGTTTGCAAATCATTGACCATCTTAGTTGTTGCAATAATTTTAGTGTTGTTTATCATAATATCTTTCACTACAGTACTTATG